GAAGAACCTCCAAAGTTTAGAGTATTACAGTGCTTCAGTTCCATGAAACTAATGGTAAGTAATGTATCAACAATAGTGCTGCATGAATCACAGAATCCTTCAGAATAATACAAAGCGGACACCTGGCACAGTTCTCTCCACACAGCATCCTTTGCCCTGTGGGAAGCTATCATTCCCTCTGTGGTTTTACGGAGGTGGGATGGGCTCTATTCTTCAGTATCAGATATACGTCCAGAATGTTTGGTTCAGGGATGGGTACATGCCCTAATCCAGGTAAATCAGAACCTAATCTAGGAATGTTTGCTCAAACTGTAGCTCTCTTCCTCCTGCAGTTGCTAAAGTAGCCAGGATGTAACCCTGGGGCTGCCAGGAGTCATACACCTTGCTATTATTTGCAAGGAGACTGCCTGAAGAGAAAGCACATACAGAGCAAAGGAGAGAGCTGAGAGAGAGCTCACCGACACCTATTAAGCATCCAAGTCCGAGCCAGAGGTTTTAAGGTTATATAAGCCAATATAAATGTCTCCTTGTATTTATGCTCTTTTGAGTTGGGCTTCTGTGAGTGGAAACTGAGACAGAGTATAATATAGCTACTTTTTTCTTTTTTAAGTTTCTATTTCTACTCTGGGGATCAAAATAATGCAGAAGAATAATCTGGACAGGCGAACACAGTACTGTAGAAAAAATACTAGATTTGAGGTTAGGAGACAGGTTTGAGCCATTACACAGACAATGACCTAGGACAGACTGATCTTTATAGGTTTATGTTATCATTTATATTAGAACAGGTCTGAACTAAATCATTACTAAAGTCCTTCAAGGTATAAAAACCTTATATATAACTTTATGAATATACAGATTGTCTAACAGGCGTAAATACCATGCATTAGAGGGACACAGTTTAGCCCAGAAGAATTAATGTGTTAGAAAAATTAGAATGTTATATAAGGAGTTCTTTTTGTTTTGTTTTTACTGAAAGTGAGAAGAATTACAGTTTAAGTGAGGAGAAAAAATAGAACATTGTATTGATACCATATGGGGAAATTTAGTAAGTAACTAGAAAAAAGTAACTAGAAAAAAGTAACCTGACTATATGATTAGGACATAAAAATTCATTCCTCAGAGAAACTAGAAAATCTCCTCTTCTTGGGATCACTTAGAATAAAGTTAATATTTATTATTTCTAGAAAATTCAAGTCTTCATTACAGATAAGCTAATGAACCCATGTACAGAGATCATACTATATATGAATTTTATCTCTAATAATTGCTTTGAAAGCAAAACAAAAAAGAAACCAAAAGGTCAAGTATTTTTCCTAAAAGTTTAATCAAAGAAAATAAAGATTAATGCTTACTTTACCTGCCACCACTCTAGAAGGGGGAAGGCAACGGAAAAGAGAGAGGAGCAGCAGAAATTCTGGGTAAGTTTGTCATGTAACAAAAGTTTGCCTCTGAATTCAGAAATTTGGGGTATCTTTCCAAAATATATACTTACCAGCATTAGTAGGATGCTTTAACTCTTTTATTCATAGTTTACAATAAATGCTGTGAGTTCGTTCCCATTCTGACACGTAAGTGTTAAGTGCGGACAGCCTGAAGCACAGGACTAGACAGGAACCAGCCCTGGGAGGAGTTCAGCTGCACCAGGCTCTCCTGGGGGGCAGGACAGGGAGCTGCTGACAGCCTGTTTCACTCATGAAGTAAAAGGACCAAATCTGCAAAGGAATGACTCCTAGGGAAGTGTAACAGAGTTGCCTTCTAAATTACCGAATATAAGAAGGACTCTTCCTTCCCTCTAGCAGTTATTCTGCTCTCAGAAACATGCTTCTGTAGAGGAGGTATCAGTTGTCCTCTGACTTCTCTGCAGCCCTCAAAGCCTCAGGTATTATCTGGGCATCACTAACACAACAGCACACGGTTTGGTCAGCAGGCACTCACCACTCTGCCATCTAATTTGCACCTCTGCTGAGGGAATGGCAGACTGCACCAGATTATTTTGGAGGAGAGTCCCTGCCAAGTCCACAAATTCTTCACTAAAACATGAGAACTGGCTCTTCTTTCTTCAAAACAAAGGGGGGGAGGAGCGGGGGGGGGGGGGGGGGAGGGAAAAGGAGAAAGAGAAGGAGAAGAAACAATATCCTCCCATAGAAATGTCACCAGAACACAACTTTCTTCTTAATGTTTCCCTACAACTGAAATTAAGGATACAAGCAAAGTCACATTAAAGACAGTTTTAATAAAATTAATGTTATATAAACTGAAAAAGTGATAAAATATATGTATCTCCTGTAATAATGGTTCACAGTTATAACGCAAATCTACAGATTCAAATGCAAATCTATAGATTCAACCTAAAAGGAAATACTAGCAAGAGGATAAATTTTTAGCAGGTGTTTCAAGAATAAAACTACTTTGGATAATCAATTATATTTACTATAAGATACTTACTTCCCTGGAAGAATTCCATAGTTGTATAACAACAGCTTTTACCATGTTCAGCTTAGCTCATTTCTCATGATGAAATTATACTTACTGAAGGTTAAAAATACATTATTTCGCTAGCACCCTAACCATTAGGTAAACATGTGCTATATTTGAAAACTGTTAGACAATTAAATTTCAAAGACTTAAAGGAAGCCTTCAGCATTATATTTATAAGACTAACAACTTCAACCTGCCTTTATTGTACTTAAGTCAGGGGCCACTAAATGCCTGAGCATCAGTACAAAAGGGTATAAACTGAGGAGCCTTGTCAAAACAGGCCCATTTCAGAAGAGCTTGTCCCTGTACAGAGATTAATTCTGAACAGCCTCAAAGTTCTTTTGCAGTTCCAGGATAGTAAATAAAAAAGTTCAACATGTTCAGAGGACTCAAGTTTTACTCTGAATGCTATCATTAACTGTTTGAATAATCTGAATCAAAGCACTTCACCTTTCTGGGCCTCCGTTTTATCATTTTTAAAGTAAGAAAAATTCCTGCCAAAAAAGGTTCATAATCTTATGCCCATAATCTTTATCCCTTTAATCTAGCTTTCTACCATTGTTTCAACATGCAAAAATGCAAATGGAACCATTAGTAAAATACAGCTTCATCAACAGCATCTGCTCGTAAATTTCTTTTTGCCTTTTTAAATATACACAGAAGTGAAGGTAGGAGCACATTAGGATACTGTGTGTGACTACAGCTGTGAATAATTCATCCAAAAATGGTCTGGGTATATTAATTAATCATGAACTAAGCACAACAAATCTCAATGATTTATTTTGACTCCAAGATGCTAAAAGTGATCAATTTTGGCTAAATTACTTAACTCTGAATCTTGATATAATGTAACAGCTAAACATAACAGTACACACAGAACTCCATCCTCTATTAGCTTGTTACCTTCCACTTGGGGGAGATTCAAACCTGTAAGAGGAAGAAGAGAGAGCAGGTGTGCCTGGAGCATTTCTGCTGATGACGTAGGGACTCTCACATTCTACAGTATACTGCATTTATTTTCATAAACACTTCTTGCTATCTTTTCACTCTGGCCCCTATTCCACAACAATATCCCATGGGCCTTGCCAGTTTACCAAATCTCTCTTCACGTTTACAGAGAAACAGATCTGACAATATTTTCAGATTCTGAGGAATACAGTATCTTCCCCATGACAAATTAAAATGTCTTCATTTTTTCATTATGAAGACTTCTCTTGGATATAAATTAAACTGTTTAAGCATCCTTGAGTTTTACTTGTATCCCTGAAAATGATGTGAAGGACTATCCCAAGTGCTTTTTTTTTTAATTTTATTATGTTATGTTAGTCACCATTCATTACATCATTAGTTTTTGATGTAGTGTTCCATGATTCATTGTTTGTGCATAACACCCAGTGCTCCACGCAGAACGTGCCCTCTTTAATACCCATCACCAGGCTAACCCATGCCCCTACCCCCCTCCCCTCTAGAACCCTCAGTGTGTTTCTCAGAGTCCATCGTCTCTCATGGTTCGTCCCCCCCTCCGATTTGCCCCCCTTCATTTTTCCCTTCCTACTTCTTTTTTTTTAAACATATAATGTATTGTTTCAGAGGTACAGGTCTGTGATTCATCAGTCTTACACAATTCACAGCACTGACCATAGCACATACCCTCCCCAATGTCTATCACCCAGCCACCCCATCCCTCCCACCCCCAACCACTCCAGTAACCCCCAGTTTGTTTCCTGAGATTAAGAATTCCTCATATCAGTGAGGTCATATGACACGTCTTTCTCTGACTTATTTCGCTTAGCATAATACCCTCTAGTTCCATCCACGTCACTGCAAATGGCAAGATTTCAGTTTTTTGATGGCTCTATAATATTCCATTGTGGGTGTGTGTGTGTGTGTGTGTGTGTGTGTGTGTGTGTGTGTGTATCACATCTTCTTTATCCATTCATCTGTCGATGGACATCTTGGCTCTTTCCACAGTTTGGCTATTGTGGACATTGCTGCTATAAACATCGGGGTGCACGTACCCCTTCGGATCACTACATTTGTATCTTTAGGGTAAATACCCAGTAGTGCAATTGCTAGGTTGTAGGGTAGCTCTATGTTCAAGTTTTTGAGGAACCTCCCCATACTGTTTTCCAGAGTGGCTGCACCAGCTTGCATTCCCACCAACAGTGTAGGAGGGCTCCCCCCTTTCTCTGCATCCCCGCCAGCATCTGTCGTTTCCTGACTTGTTAATTTTAGCCATTCTGACTGGTGTGAGGTGGTATCTCATTGAGGTTTTGATTTGGATTTCCCTGATGCTGAGCGATGCTGAGCACTTTTTCATGTGTCTGTTGGCCATTTGGATGTCTCCTTTGGAAAAATGTCTGTTCATGTCTTCTGCCCATTTCTGGATTGGATTACTTACTCTTCGGGTGTTGAGTTTGATAAGTTCTTTATAGATTTTGGATACTAGCCCTTTATCTGATATGTCATTTGCAAATATTTTCTCCCATTCTGTCGGTTGTCTTTTGGTTTTGCGGACTGTTTCCTTTGCTGTGCAAAAGCTTTTTATCTTGATGAAATCCCAATAGTTCATTTTTGCCCTTGCTTCCCTTGCTATCCCAAGTGCTTCTTACATGGCTGGTACTCACTATCAGAAGCATTTAGCCAACTCTCCTGAAGAAGCACCTACATCACACAGGGTGGATATGTGTGTGGGTGAGTGTGTATAAGAGAGGGAAAGAGAGCATGTGTGAGAGTACAGCTTAGTCAGGAAAGGTCAGAGTACTACGAAAACCTGTAATTAACCCCAACTCAAAATCCTGAGTAAAGCACTCTACGATCTGTTGGTTGTAATGCCAAACAAACAAAAAAGTTGCAGTTTAATGTGGTGAAGGCAAATACTTTAGAAAGGTCAAATGTGTTTGTAGCTTGCAACAGAAAAGTTAAGACTGTTGCAGTATCTCTAGCAAATAATTCTGTCCATTCCAGAAAAACCGACCTCTTTTTCTGAAACTATGAAGGTCACGAGAGGACTGGAAATACCACTTCCCTTCAGTATATGATGACGACTTCTCAGTTTAGCCTGCTACTAGTTTTCATCAAATACGCGCATGGTAACACAATCAAAGAATAATACTTATTTTGGAGTCCTCTTTGGAAACTTCAGGGAACATTAACATTTTCAAAATGCCCCCAAAAAACCTTCTCCTGAAGAAATCTCAATATTTTGTAGACAGATAGTACACCTTAATGCCTGGCAAAACATCTGGTTTTGTTGCTTTGGTTAAGACAAAGCTCTGCACGTCACTGTGACTCACTGCTTTGTTCATCACTGTGCACCGGGGTGCACGGCTCTGTCTTCCATCCTGAGAGAAATCTTATCTATTGTTGTGGAGGTATTCTGCTCCAGGAGTGCCAAGCCTCGAATCACAGCCTGTACAAGAGGATTTGTCATGAAAAATCTACTGTTATGAAAATTGCCAAATTCAGGAAAGCCAAGACTTTCAATCAAGGGCTTCTCAAGAGGTCTTGTCAAGAAGTGGGAGCAATTATGAAATGCTTTGCTACACATAAGTTCACTGTTTTCAGAAGGCAAATTCTACAGCCAGGATTTTAACTGCCGTTGACTGGATAAAATACAAACTCGTTTGCACAGTTTAGGTTTCAACCTTAAAACTAAAATGTGAAGTTCTAATCTTTTCCTTCCTAACATAGTGTTATGCCAGGATTTGGCCAAAAATGATCTCATTAACCAACAGCAAAGAAAATGATGCAACATGAATTTTTCTGAAAAATCTTAGAGAATTCCTATTTTTTGACACAAGCCTACTTTCACCTGACAAAAGAATTTAGAGATTCCATTTGCTCTTTCATTCTTTCGTGAAATAGCATTTTAAGCACTTGTTTTCACCAAAAACAGTCAAAATTGATTGGATATCAAAGATGACATAAAAGTTGTCAAGTCAAAGACGATGGCATAGTTTTAATGTATTACTTGAAATTTAAATACTAGCAGCCCTTTCATTAAAACTTACTATTGGGCAGAACTAAAGCTTAATTTTGATTAATTTGTAACCATTTAGATTTATTCATTGTCCTCTGAGAAAAGAAAACAGTGGCCACTATTTTTTCCATTTAAAAAAGGGACATAATTCTTATGAAGACTCCTTTTATTTTCCACGTTAAAAAAAATTTCAGTGTAATTAAAAACTACAAGCAAAATTTTATGTTCATGTATATCATGCACATTTTTAGTGGGAGACTATAGCTTTCATCATATTTTTTAGAAAGTATGTAACATAAACATTTTAAGAGCCAAGAGCTTAAATCTAGTGTTCTGGCTCCACATTACACAGCTTCTCTATTTTTATTTGAAATTCTTTTTACTTGATCTCTTTCCCACTACAATGTCTACTGCTCATCAACCCTGCTTGCTCTAAACTTCTACCACTGCTTCAGCTACTGTACTTTTACTTGACCCGTTTATGGTTTTCTTCCCATTCTCTTTCCCCTGTGCTGCCCTGTACTTATTCACTTCAGTGTAGAACAATTACCTTCTATATTTTTAATCAGTAAAACCAACTGTTTCCCTCTAGACGATGAAAAAATGAACCAAAGAAAACATCTCAGGCCCTCTAGAATTCACTCCACTACTATCATCTCAGGGTGTACACAATATAAAGAAATGTAAGGCAATCTATTATAATCAATATTCACTAAAATCAAGCACTAATATAAGATTCCGTTTTATAAACTATCACCAATACACAGCACTTTGGCATCCTTAGATGTAATTTTAAAAAATCACAAAGATAGATAAAACAAGAAATGAGGAAGGAGAAAAGGAGCCAGGAATCAATACAACCACCAGCTAAAATGGTGGAAATGATCATGTTTCTGTTTTGAAGTTGTTAAAAAGAAATTAGCTTAGGGGCACCTGGGTGGCTCAGTCAGTTAAGCATCCGACTCCTTGATCTCAGAGTCCAGTTCAAGCCCCACATTGGGCTCCACGCTGGGCATGGAGCCTACTTTAAAAAAAAAAAAAAAAAAAAAAAAATTAAAGGCAGGCAGGCAAGCAACTTAAACTGGAAGAGAACCTTCCTGATTGTAAACATTATTAAAACTAGAATAAATTTTTTGCATAAAGTTGTGATGTCTCCCTCAACAGAGTTCTTTCTCTAGGTGAGTTTCTCCCTCTATCTGGAGTGGTTTGGGTTTTTCCTTCTCAGAGACAGAGAAATGTACAAAAATCTCTTTGTAAGATATATAAACCTATTTTGTCACACTTACCATCCAAAGAAACGAATCCCTTAGAAATTACTGTGAAAGTTCTCCCAAGAGTTTACATTCTCCCCTCAAACATACTAACAGATTAAGTTTGTCACTGATTTTCAACAGTCTTTATTAGTCTTCTGAATAAGATAAGACTCTTTGACTAATCTTAATTATAACTACATTCATGAATATTCATATCAAAGAATAATTTTCATATCCTTATAAAAGTAAAGATCATACTTTACTAGGAAATGGCATCCAAGTTATCATCCAAAGACATCTTATTCTCAGGCAAGGTTCAGAAAGATCAAGCTTATTTTTGTTTAAAGTACTGCTTCTTTAAATGCTGTCAGGATTTTATGAGAGCAAGTATGCCATACAGTTAATGGGTAAGATTTACTAGCATGATATGAAAATGCTAGCATGAACAAAAAAATTGAAAGAATCAGTCATTTGCTCATATGACAGTTAAGGTAGTAACTGATTTAAATGTTCGGAATAAAGAAATAAGGGTTACCAACCATCTTTTTAAAAACCTGTTTTCCAATAAATGCTCAGATCGAGGAAAAAGAAAGAAAAAAACATCAAATATAACTTACCTTTTTGTCTCTGGTCCTTACTTCCCCATAGAAATCTAGGGCCTCTTGTGCCTTTAAAAATTTGCCCCGATGTAATAAATATGCACAAATCATTACACCAGTTCGTCCCTTTCCAGCTTTACAGTGAATTGCTGCAACATGATTGTCATCTTCACTTAGCCATTGGTCAAGATCTTCACAAAAGGGTTTGATAAGTTCTAGCTGTGGTGGATTATGGTCTTCAAAAGGATACTGTGCAACTGTGGTAAAAGGATAACCTCAGAATTAGAAAAAAGTCTTTCCTGAATTGTTTATTAAAGTAAGTTAACTTGAGAAATGTTGCATATAAGCTTAACAGGTGTTTAAAAGAAAAACCAGACTCCAGAGAAAAATAATTTGCTGCCTGATAATTTTCCAATTTTTGAATACAAAATAGTCTCTCATTAATTCTTAAACCTACCCACTAGACAGAGAGGCCGAGAATTATTTTCTCCACTTAATGAAAGAGGAAACTTGGCTATGGAGAGGTAGCACAAGTCAACATATCAGAGGGAGAGGCAAACTCAAAATGAAATGTCACGTAGGTAGGTTTCCTGGCAAGGCTCTCAGTGCATTTTCTGACAAAAGAAGTCATAATATTTATAGTATTACATCACCACAAAACATGTATTCCAGAGAAGGTATAAATTACCAGTAAATCCATAATGGAAAGGACTGATTTTTACACTTCATAAAATAAAAATGCTAATTAAGCATGTTATTTGAAGATGGTCTTGCAAATGTTAGTGTTGATTTTAAAGGCATTTACAAAAGACACTGAAAAAACTACTTATAAAAATGTATACAGTTGTAGTAAAGTGTATCTAATGTCACGTCTTTTCACATGGTTTATAAAAACCCAAAATTTCACTGTTCCCTATAGTCAGAGTTGAGGGTTTTTTTTTTTTAAACTTGCCTAGAAATAGGAGTTTAACTGTATCACTATTAAATTTTTTTCTTACTGGTCCCTGCCTTGGTTCCATTCCATTAAAATCCTTAAAAATCCTGACTGACAGCAAATGTATATAATTATCCTGTGTGTCATCTAAATACGTGAGAAATATTCCTTCTATCTTCAATCAACTCATTAATAACGTGGAACAAGGTTCAGCGTTGGGTGAGTCGTCCCGGGAGACAACGACTGCCGTTACAGGGAGTCGCTGGGACAGCTTTCACCTGGGCCTCAGCATTCCATCTTCATCTCCCCAGTGGCACATAAAAACATCCAGGAAACTCTGTGAAACGTCTATTTAAAGCTAGATAAACCGTGACTAAAACACACTTTGCCTAGTAAGCAGTAGGCTAAATTCACGAAAAAGGAAAAATTCTCAGTGAGTCTGTATTGGCTCTCAGCCATTAGTGCCTCTGAATTCTCAAACAGGCTGTCTGAATGTCCGTTCTAGATTTTTCAGAAGGAATCCACGGCAAACATATTAGTATATAGCTCATGGCATCCACCTTCTCTTTCTATCACGGTAGCACCTGCCACGCTTCTCCACTCTCCAGGTGTCTCGTGGCTCAAGGGGTTCCACCAACACAGACGGAAGGTTTCTGCGGGCCCTCAGAAGAATTCACCACCGCTAGAGGAGCACTCACTGAGAGCAGCTCCCACGCTCCTCTACCAGGCTCCTCACTGAGAGCAGCTCCCGCGCTCACCTACCAGGCTCCTCCTTACCCATGTCCATCATACCCTTCTCTCCCTTTTAGGTCATGGCTCCACAGAGCTAAGTTGCTCTGTTTTCTCCCTATAATCTCTTACTGTTACACCAAATGCCTCCAACAGTAGATATAACCCTCTCTTTATTTTACTGTTAGTCTAGAAATTTTTCCTAATTCTTATAATCTACTCTAGTGTTCTTACTAGTACTGGCAGGTTTATATAATTGTTTCCTAAAACACACCAGCAAAATTAAATTTGTTTTCCAAAATGTCTAAGACCATCTTTAAGATAAATATTTACCTCACTTAATAATTGAGATTATTAATTACTGCTGTGACAGTAAGATTTGGTCTATTGGTTTTAAGTTATATAACAAAAATACATTACTCGGCAGTTAATACCTACCTCTGCAGTTAAATTTGGCGGTATCATAATGTCTTTCAGCACACCTAAAAGAAAAAGTTTAAATGTGATCTAAAGTTATCTTTTGCACTGGCGAAAAAAAGTATAGTAACACACATTTTCTGAACTTTTATACCGCACCAGGCATCATGCTGTTTTGTATTAACTATTTCTTTCAATCCTAACAATCTATGAAGTAGGTAGTGTCATTATCCTCATTTTACCATTAAGGAAACTGATGTTAGGTGTTATGCACATACAGCTTACACACTTGCTCACAAAACCTTGATGCCGCTCAGGCTCCCACCTCCCACCCAGCTGCATGTGTACCCTCAAATTTCCTGTACGGACACTCTGTGTGCTGAGGGAGTGTATGTTTGATTTCACCAAGTATGTACAAACAACTAATGAGTTACAGCATTGTCTTTACCTCAGAGTTGAGCACACATTGTTTTCTCAAACTAGTATGCAAAAAAGATATATTTTTAAAATAGTAAAATTATAAGGGCAAAGAAAAAGTAAAAAAAAAAAAAGTGAATGATGCTAATGTACTCAAAAACAACACTTCCTAAAAAATTTTTAAGCTAGACCTTTCTCTCTTTAGAGAAGCCAAAGGTCATCTTTTTCAATAATCTCTCAGGTTATGAGTTTTAATTAAAGTCTGAGAGTAATGAAGGAGTAATAAATAAAATACAGAATAATAAAATGTTGACTTAGAGCATACTAAAATTTGTCTTTTTAATATTAGTGACACATTTGTCATCATGCACTGGTTTACTCATGATTAATAAGTATATTTATAAACATTAATAAGGCTCCGAAAGGGATCCCATACTTTGGTTTGTGGTCAGCAGAATCATGGTAACTACAGCTACTAACCAAATGAGTTTAAAAAAAATTATTTAAAATAAAAACTTGGCATTTTAAAACAAATCAAGGTCTACAATCCCTGAATCTCCAATTCTGAAGTATGAAATTTTAACATTTCCTGTTAAACTTATGGCAAATTCAATTGTGGCAGAATCTGATCTGAGTTTATGACACTGTATGCACTCTTTAACTAATACACTTGAAGAGTCAAACACTTCATGCTAGGTAGGGACTGCTCCAGACCCCAGGGGGTGTTATGTAATACTAGTTAAGTATTTGCTTCCATGTTACCTTTCTGCAAAGGGAAAAATTCTTAACACTGAAACACAACTGGTCCCAAGAGTTTCAATAAGTGATTATGGACATGTATTTCACATTTAAGAAATCCTAAAACTATCTGTATAGTTCCTCTACTTTAAATAGTTTTAAATCCTAATCCACATGAAAGTGGAACTAATTATAAACAAATTAGAATCCACTAGTTTAAATGGTCAGACCTGAAATAAATTGACTTTCACACTACTGCTTAAAACAAAGCTTTCCCCCTTTTTTGCATATAATTTAATATACTGAGTTTTGCTCAAAAAAAATTATTTAGTAAAGCCATATGCATATTTATGTATCCTTGCTAAATAATTTCATACTCCCTCCTATACAAAACATGACAGGCAGGAGGAAGACTGACCAAGAAAATAGTCATATTTTATACTTTCTTTAGTACAGATTAAAGAAGAGGTCTGGTAAATAGTGAAGAATCCATAACAGAATATTTTATAAGGACTCATGGAAAGATAGGACTTAGAAGGTGAGGGAGAAGGAGTAGGCTAGGAAACAATTCTAAGAAGCTGGTCTCATGGCAGCACAACAAAAAATAAACATTCTGAGTTTCATGCAGCTTTAGTCCTCTAATATTCTCATGCTTTTTCAGGAGCTCACATGTTTGGTTTGACAAATACTGCTTAACACTACCATCCTAAACTGATTCTCAAATATTACTGTTAAGAGGCAGAAATGGAGGAAAAGTGGGAATAATGAGCTACTATGTCTACCAGATGTACACACCTTACAAAGGAGTTTCCATGTTTTTTAATTCATAGTCACAACAATATAACAATAGAAAACATAATCTCCATCTTACATATGAGAAAGCTAGGATTTAGAAGAGCATTAAAAAAAACTTGCCCCAAACCACAATATGCAAATGGAAGAGCCAGGTCTCAAGCCCAGGACCTCTGGTTACAAAAGTCAAACTTTTTCCAGCATGGCTCCATACTTCTACTTACAATACAAAATAGAGAACAATTTTAAAAACAAACGCAATAACAAATTCTACTCAAAATCAGCCTTCCTACAAGAGCAATATTTGGCATAAAAGATAGAACCAACAAAAAGCAATCATGAAACATGAAGAAGTTATGAAAATCTCTACAGGTACGGATGAGGAGTACATGAGAACATATACTGGGGCCGGTAGTGATGGACGTGATCTGGAGGAGGGGTTGCTAGGGTAAGAATGATGACTGTCTTCTTAATTAAGACCTTCTCCAAAACTGTGCACACATGCGTGCACACATGCACGCATGCACACACCCAGGTCCTTATAAATTTTGTGTGGTATGTTAGTTGATAAGTCTCTCAACAAACCAAAACTGAATGGGATTTACATAAATGGAAAATGGGATGTGACTGAGACAAGTATTAGGTAACTCTGACCACTTACACTTCCATATAATTAAAATTCAACTTAAAAGATACCATTTTTAAAAATCTTCACCTTATACTGGCTTATATGAGACAAGAGAGATGAAGAAGCATTGAAAGAGTTTTTAATGAAGCGGTAGACAGAAAGTGAAGAGATAGGACTAATAGGAAAAGCTTCCAGAGAAGTGAGACTTGCCAAAGAGTCAGTGAAGTATGCAGGTCTCTTCTGTAACTCTCTTCAACATCACTATCTCTAGCTTACAAAAGAAAACCTAACAGATAAAAATTAACAACAGCTAAAGGTTCACCACCAAATGATGGAGAGTTGTATGTCAAATAGAATACACGATGAAATACAGTAACCCTTTTAAAAATGAATATCCAGTAAACATTTAAGGTCCTCAAAGGCAGGAAGTGTATTATACCTCTACCCCCATCTTCCTCCCTCTTCCTCTTACCCCACCAGCCTACAGGTACACAGAGGAACACACAAAAATGTAATATACACACTTGCACAAAACAAACTAATTTACTAAGCATCATCATACCCAAATGTGATTAATGATACGAAGCTAATTTTGTCCTTTCTTAAAATAATTTACTGAATGCTTGATAAGATAGAGATATAAACAGTCAATTATTAAAAAGTCCGTATTAAGAACTGTTCGTCATCCACACGTCGTAATTGCCATAAGAAGTTTAATATACCATTAAATACATGTATGTCTAGTGTAAATATTTTAAGACCTTTCAGTTTCTATGTTTGCAAGGACATACATCACATGTAGTTAACATCCCCAAAATAAAAGAAATAAAATAGAAACATCTGTTGCTTGCCAGACTCCCTTACCCAGAGCCAGAAATACAAAAAGGGGTAGAGAGAAGGTGAAGAATGAAAAATGTCATCAGAAATCAAAACATGCTACAACCTGGTAGTTCTAGAAACTTCTGAAGTAAAATTTGGGGAGGTTAAAACAAACGACGACGACAACAACAACAAAGCCAGAAAGGGAAGACTGGCATAAACGGTGGGTGGTCTGCTACCATATGTACCTGTGTGACCTTGTTCAACTCACTTAACTTCTAGGCCTCAGATTCCCCATCTGTAAAATGAGAAGGTTGGACTAAATGATCTCTTTCAGGTACTTTCCAGTTCTGAAAGTCTATGACTCCGTTAAATGGAGTGAGGAAGGGGAACTGAAATATAAATACCAAAAGCTACTCTCAACTAATGAGACAGTTCATTAACTCTGGGGTCCGACGTTTAGAAATACAAAAACAAAAGGGCAGCCAAGTTCCCAGACCAGCTCCCAATACCACCTTTAACCATAATAATGTTAAGTGATCCAGAGCACTGACAGTGCAAGCCTAGGTCCTAAATTCTGGAAGCAGGAAGCCACTGAATACAGGAATGAAAAGAATTTCCTTCCTTTTCTTTGGATATAATGTTAAACTCGAGTAAAATTTTGAAAAAGACAGAATTTGTCTTTGGTATCTTTCTGCCTTCCTTCTGGGACTCTGAATGCCTAATCTTTAGAGTCTAAACCCTGAAGTGACTCACTTAATGGACTGACTGCAGCTTTTGACACTTCTTGTCCTGTGCTTTATTTTCTTTTTTAAACTTAGCTTCTGAATCTAGTTATTCAAAAAGTATAAAGCTTTGAGGTTTTTATTTTCCTCCACAGAAACACTCTGGCGTCTGCAACAAGGCTAGTTACAGGAGGTTACTCAGGACGAGAGGAAGACCTATTCACAGATCACCTACACTCAAGTCCCTACAGCACCTTTGTCTTTCACCTTGTTACCTGTCACCCCACACCCTCGGCATAAACGTTTGCTTCTTTGTGAATCCGAGGAAATTAATGAAAACTCACTAGGAGAAACAATAATGGTGTCTACTTCACTCTCATGTCTTCTGAGGTCTTATCAGAATAGAAAGATCACTAAATTAAAGATAGAAAAGCAACATTCCACAAGCTGACAAGGCACACAGAATCTTTCATCCTTTTTGGTGATGATTTAAATGCCCACTGAAGGGAGAAGAGAATCTTATTCTTACATTTGAGAAATAAATTCTACAGAAATTATGACAGTCAATCGGGAAACATAACTTCAGATTAAAATTTTTCCTGTTGCATAATTTACAGACATCACATAGGAAAAATAAAAACCAGGTAGAAAAATAACACATTTTATATACCATTTCTTAAAAGGCAGAAAGTGGGTCAATATTTTGGGAAGGAATAATAGTCTTCAAGGGCAAAAATGATAAAATATTTTCTTCCCATTTTTCTTTTGGTCTTTTTTTCCTTTTCACATCCCTACTCACAAAGTCAAAAAGAAAAACAAAAGGTTGAAGATAAGCTAGCTGTACCAAGGAGGCAATCTTTACATCCTTGCCTTAAACAAGATAAAACACCCAACTCAACAATTTCAGATAACTTACTTTTGTTATATACAGTTAGAGAATACCCTAATAGCTGTTTCAATCAAATGACCTAAAGACACAGAATAAAGAAAACTACACCCACTCTGAAGCATCTATCTCTATGGAAGATGTTATTAATGCTTTAACAGAAAAAGCTCTGCTGTGAAATACACTTCAAGTTACCACATGGTTATTGGCTCAAAGATGGGCTAGATGCCAAGTCATTTAAACCAGATCAAGTAAAGTGAATGTGTGCCAACATTGTTTTGACCTCATCACTACACTTTCTGAATGACCTAACAATGCTCTTAATCAGACATCTTGGACTAATTGTTTTAGGAACACAATTCTGTTAAAATATATCTTTAACTCTACCTGATTCTAACAAGGAAATAACTTTCACTTAATAGTTATTTTAGAAGATATTTGCAAGCATACAAATAAAAGACATACTTACAGATTGTATATCTTGTAATGGTTTTTATGCTTTGAATCCAAAAACCTTAAAACAAAACAAACAAACAAAAAGCCACCATTAACAAAAATGAGCTAACATTTGAAATTACATTTATACTATTGAGAAAACCTAAATGACAGATTCCATTTTTCCTAATCTCAAATACCATTTAAGAAAAATAAATAAATAAATTCCAATAAATATTCCCTTCATGGGTTTAAACTAGTAATCAGGTCATTCTTAAATAATTATTACATTACACAGATTTATACAATCTGAAGTAAAGCCAGAGCTTTTCATAGAATAAATATTTTCATAATCTTCTCTCTTTAGCCTAACATTATGAGGTTGAGTATTAAATAAGTTATTTAAAAGGCAGCATTAGCACTTAGCTCTTCACCTAGCTCATTCAGATGTGAAACAGTCATGTGTAATCAAGTAATCTTAAAAATAACCCTGAAAATTCAGCCATCATTTTCTTTCAAATAAGAAACTTTTCATATTTGAAAGATGCAAGTAGTAACTATTAACTCCATACAAAGTTTATTAAGTATTTTCACATATATATTATCAGTTGACGCTCACAAACATCTGAGAGATAGAGCTTATTCACATTTTACAAATGAGGGAAGTGTGTCAAAGAAATTACAAAACTTGCCCAAGGTCATACAGCTAATAAGCCAAAGAATCAAGACCAAAGACCTCTCCCTCAAAACAGTTACAAAACTAAACAACAGCAACAATTACAGCCAACAAAAGCACTTGCCATGTGTTTCTACCACATTTAAGTACTTTATGCATATAAATTTGTTTACTCTTATGAGGTAGTTATAGGGGGAAAGGGGTTAGAAAAGTATAAGCTGAGGAAATAGGATAAACAGAATAAAAAGACAAATGGAAAACAAAAGAGAAGATTTAAAAAGATCTAAAGTCTAGGAGTTTCAACATATGAGCAGAAGTTCTAGAGAAAAGAACAGAAAACACAAGAAGAAATCCAAGATACAATTCAAGAATAATACTGAAGGACAGGAGTTTCCAAAATCAAAGGATACAATGAGTATTCAGCAAAAAAGATGAAAATAGACCCAAACACAGGTATATATATAGCTCAGTGAAATGTCTAAATACTGAAGAGATAAACGTAGGACCCTAAAATATGCCCAAAGAGGAAACAGGTTTCATAAAAAGTATCTGGAATCAGAATTACACCACCCTTTTTAATGGCAACACTAGCAGCTAGAAAACAATCGGGCAAAACCTTCTGAGTTTGAGGGAAAACTATTCCCAGCCTAGAATTCCATACCAAAAGAGATATTAAATCAAGTGTGAATATATAATAAAGGCATTTTTAAACAAGAGAAATCTCAAATAATTTTGCTGCCCACATAATCTCTCTCAGGAAGTTACCAGAAGATGTGTTCCACCAAAACAAGGGTGGGAAACCATGAAAGAGAGGACGATTCCAGGAACTGAAGAATCCAGCTCATGAGAAGGGAAAAGGGAATCCTCAGAGTGACGACGGTGAAGGAACATCCTAAGCAGACAGCTATAAAGCAGATCTAGTGAACAACTGACCCAGATCAGGGTAGATCAGAAGGCTCCTGAAGAAGATAAAATCGATATAATACCAAATGTGCTTGAACATGTTAAGAGATTTATATAGTTTAGGAATAAAGTTAAGAACACAGAAACTAAGGAAGCTAAGAGAGAGAGAGAGAGAGAATTTTAACTCCAGGGAAAATAAAATGTTTAGGAAAAAACAGTTACACTACTCAACTGTAAATCGCATTTATCTAGTCATAATCACATAAAAACCCAACATTTATATAACCAAAATTACAATTTAGCTACTAGAAGGAGGGCTGAAAATATGTGTATGGTTGGGTAGAGGGAAAAAGAGTTCATAAATCTGGATGTGAAAAATCATGCCACACAGTAGTATGAGGATTACTTGTAACTTTGTCACTAGTTTAAATGATATATTTGTATGTCACACTAAAATATTAATTACAATCAACACTTAAAAATTAAGCAGAGTACAGATTTTATATAATTTGTTAACTACAGTATTCTAACAAATTTTTAATATTTTCTGAACTATTATAATCAAAACGAATACAACAATGACTTTCTCCTATACCAGCAAAACATTCTCTAATGGACTTAGTATGACAAGATGGGTTCCTCTTATTTCTGCAGAGTCAGGCCCTCATCCCATAAACCACTCAGCAGTTTCTAGACCAGGCTCTTTCCTTGCACGACCAGTGTTTCATCAAGGGTTCCAGGTCACCAGTATTTTTTTTTAATGGTATGCTTTCATGTTTTCATTCTTTGATACCCATTCCTATCAATGTTATCTTTTATTTAAATGTACTGAGAGAACATGTATTAAGTACTTGAAACTGCGCTTGTTTCCCTGGGATAAAATTATTTAAGGACTATTGTCCCTGCCCTCAAAGTAATACTAGGGTAAATGTATCAGTGAGAATAAGGTTTAGCTGTGAGAAACAGAAGAAAGTGGGTGGGGGAGGGGCCCATAAACAAATATGCTACTAATTATATTAAATACACTACTCTCCCACATAAATTCCAGGATTAGTAGTCTACAACTGGTTGGGTAGATTTGTTTCATAAAGGCCTGGAGCCCAGGACCCTTCCATCATATGCTGAGCCAACATGATGGGCAACCCAAGGTCCAAGATGGTGTGCCATCATATTTGTAGTAAGAACAGACCGGAGAAGGGAAAGGATAGGCCCCTCCTTTAAGAATTCATCATTTCTACTTAAAAACAATAGATTTTAAGTTATCACATTATCAAATCTAGCCACAGGGGAAGCTGGAATTACCACGGGCACTCTGGGAAAACACGTACACAGCAAACAAGCAAGTGTTCTATTAATGATGGGAAACGTAAAGATGATCATTGACTTTCTCGATGGTTGTTCTATTCTCTAATTTCAATTACCTCTAATCTTTATTTTCTTCTGCAAAACAAAAACAAAAACTAATGACTAATACTAATGTAACAGGTATATTTGTAATCCTAATTTAAAGTCACTCTAAGAGGGGCGCCTGGGTGGCTCAGTCCTTAAGCCTTCGGCTCAGGTCATGATCCCAGGGTCCTGGGATTGAGCTCCACATCGGGCTCCCTGCTTGGCAGGAAGCCTGCTTTGCCCTCTCCCACTCCCGCTGTTGTGTTCCTGCTCTTGCTGTCAAATAAAAATTAATTAATTAATTAATAAAATAAAATAAAATCACTCTAAGAAGGAGTCCATAAGCTCTACCAGACTCTGTCAAATAAAAATTAATTAATTAATTAAATAAATAAAATAAAATCACTCTAAGAAGGAGTCCATAAGCTCCACCGGACAGCCAAAAAGGTACATGGCATAAAAAAAAAGACTAAGAACTCTTGCCAAGGGGCAAAGGGAAACAAAGGAAAACTACTACTTTGTGGTTCTGGGGATGACTATTAATAAACCATAGAGGACAATATTTCATTCTAATATTTCATGTGTACTTTTCTTTAAATATTTAAATTACGTGTCACTTCTTATGACTCTTCAGTTTAGCCCACTTCTTCAACTAACCAAGGAAGCACTGCTTCTGCTAAGACGACTTCTACTCCACTATGAATATTCTACAGGAAAAAGTGGTGTTACACATCCTTTCTCTCGTCTCTCCTACCCTCTTTATCTTCTCAATTCCTATACCTTTCTCAATTTGTACTTCTGGATTTCTTTCTTTAAACTGAGATAAAATTTACATACAGTGAAACAGATCTTAGGTGTACAACCATCTCAATCAAAATACAGAATACTTCCATCACTCCAGAAAATTCCCTTATGCCCATTTGCAGTCAAACCCCACTAAGCTCCCAGGCAGCTAATATTACCACAGATTAATTTGTCCTTGTGTTCTTGAACTTCATATAAATGTAATCATTTAATATGCAGTCTTTTGTAACTGGCTTCTTTCATTTAATCTAATGTTTTACAGATTTATCCATGTTACATGTATCAATAGTTCATTCCTTTTATTCTGTGTATGATTCCACTGCATGACTACACCATCACTTGTTTATCCACCCTCCTTTGATGGATATTTAGGATGTTTACAGTTTGGGGTTATTATGAGTAAGTATTATATAAACATTCTTGTGCAAGAATTTTGGGGATACCTGCTTTTATTTTCCATGAGTAAATAAGTAATAACTACAAGTAGAGTTGCTGGGTCATAAGGAAGACAGGGTAGGTGTATATTTATAAGAAACTACTAAACAGTTTTCCGAAACAGCTATATCATTTTACAATCCTATCCGCATTTTAAAAGAGTTCCAGTTGCTCCACAATCTCATCAACATTTGGTGCTGTCAGTTTTAATCACAGCTTTTCCAATGGGTATAAAGTGGTACCTTATTGTGGTTTTAAATTTCCTTTCCCTGATGACTAATGATATTAAGCATATTTTCATTTGTTTATTAGCCATTTTTATACCTTCTCTGAAAATGTCTGTTCAAGTCATTGGCTCATTCCCCAGTCCCCTAGTTGGATTACCTGGCTTTTTATTATTGATTTACAGAAGTTTCATATGTTCTGGGTCAAAGTCTTTTATCAGATATACGTATTAACATAAATATTTGCTCCTCATCTATGACTTGCTTTTTCATTTCCTTAATAATGTGTTTTGATAATCAATAATTTAAAATTCTGATAAAGGGCGCCTGGGTGGCTCAGTCGATTGTGTCTGCCTTCAGCTCAGGTCATGATCCCAGGGTCCTGGGATCGAGTCCCGTGTTGGGCTCCCTACTCCACAAGGAGTCTGCTTCTCCCTCTGCCCCTCCTTCCACGCGTTCTTTCAATCCTTCCCAAATAATAAATAAAATATTTTTTAAAATAAAATAAAATAAAATTCTGATAAAAATCCAATATATCAAATTTTTTTGTTTAGAACTTTGTATCCTCTCAGAAATCTTTCCCTACCCTTAGAGTTCACAAAAATATTCCCTACGCTTTCTTCCAGAAACTACTTTTAGCTTTTTCTC